TCCAATTTTTGATTCGATTGTTTTCTTTTCTTTCCAAATTTTCGATTCATTAATTTTTTCGATTTTCTAGTTTCTCGATTTTTAATTTTTCGATTTGCAATTTTTCATTTTTTCAGTTTTCGATTTTTCAGTTTATTCCGATCTTTTCGTTTTTCGATATTTTTACTTTTCGAATTAAAAAAATGCAAAATTGTAAAACTGAAAAATCAAAAAACGAAGTATAAAATGAAAACTTCAAAAAATCTATAAATTGGAATTAAGAACTTGAAAAATTGAAGAAACAAAAAGCTGAAAAATCGAAGAAATAAACATCGAGAAACTTAAAAATCTAAAAACTACAAAATTGAAACAAAAAATGGAGGAATTGAAAAATCAGAGATTGAAAATTTGAGCAACTGTGACGTCAAAAAATTGGTCCGAGGTACCTAAGTGAATCCAGAATTTTCGAAAAATTACAATTTTTGATTTTGCAAATTTTATTTTTTCAATATTTTAGAATTATAATTAGAATTAGAACATTTCATTTTTTCTATTTTGATTGTTCAATTTTTGGTTTCGGCTTTTTATTTTCTTTATTTTTTCAATTTTTCTACTTTTCAATACGAAATTTTTCAATTTTGGATTTTTCAGTTTTTGGATTTGGAATTTTTCAGTTCATAATTTCTCGATTTTCCAACTTTTAATTTTTTTTATTGTTCGTTTTTTTTTTTCAATTTTAGATTTGTTTTTAATAATAATAATAATAATAGTAGTTTATTTTTCCAGTTTAGAGTTTCTAGATTTTTTAATTTGCAATTTTTCTAGTATTCATTTTAAATATGAATGTAATAATTATAATTTCTAAAATTTTTCACTTTTTCATTTTAAAATTTTCCAATCTTTCAATTATTGGAACTTCTGAAACTTCTTTCTTTATTCGGTTTTTCAATTTTTCGATCTTTCTATATTTCAGTTTTTGGATTTTACAATTTTGACGATTCTGTAATTTTTCGATTCGATTTGTTTTTTTTTCCAATTTTTCCTTCTCATTAATTTTTTTCGATTTTTTAGACTTTCGATTTGTAATTTTTCGAATTCCCACTTCTTCGACTTTGCAATTTTTCATTTTTTCAGTTTTTCGATTTTTCAGTTTATTTCGATCTTTTCGTTTTTCGAAATTTCTACTTTTCGAATAGAAAAAATGCAAAATTGTAAAACTGAAAAATCAAAAAACGAAGTATAAAATGAAAACTTCAAAAAATCTAAAAATTGGAATTAAGAACTTGAAAAATTGAAGAAACGAAAAACTGAAAAATAGAAAGAAGAAACATTGAAAAATTTAAAAATCTAAAAACTACAAAATTGAAAACGAAATATTGTAAAAACGAAATATTGATAATAAATTGATAATTAGATGATAATTAAAGAAATCAGAAAAAAGGATAACTCGGAAATCCAAAAACTGCAAAATTGAAGAATTTAAAAATTGGAAATGGAGGAATTGAAAAATTTGAACAACTGAATAAACGTAAAATTACAAAATATAAAGACTCTTTGTAAAAACTAACGGAACTGAAAAAACGAAAAACTGTGATATAAAATCAGGGAAATGAAGATTAAAAAATTGACCAAATGGAAAATAATAATGAAGAACTTGAAAAATTGGAAAAACAAAAAATGAAAAATTTTAATATAAAAAAATTACAAAACTGAAAAACTCCAAATCGAAACACCAAAAAATGGAAAAATTGAAAAATAAAAGAAACTGAAAAAACGTAAAATTCTGACATGAAAAAATTGTAAAATCGAAGAAACATGATAAACGAAAAACTGTGATGTCAAAAAGTTGTCCGAGGCAAGTGAATCCAAAATTTTTGAAAAATTATAATCTTTGATTTTGCAAATTTTATTTTTTCAATGATTTGCCATTTTTCAGTTTTTCATTTCTTGATTTTTCCACTTTTAGATTTTTTTTATTTTTCGTTTTTTTCAATTTTAGATTTTTTTAATAATAATAATAGTAGTTTATTTTCCAACTTTACAGTTTCTCGATTTTTCAGTTTCCAATTTTTCTAGTGTTCATTTTAAATATGTATGGGATAGGGGTAATAATTATAATTTCTAAAATTTTTCACTTTTTCATTTTAAAAATTTTCCAATCTTTCAATTATTATTGGAACTCCTGAAAATTCTTTTTTTATTCGATTTTTCAATTTTTCAATTTTTCGATCTTCCTATCTTTCAGTTTTTCGATTTTACTATTTTGACGATTCTGTAATTTTTCGATTCGATTCGTTTTGCTTCTTTCCAATTTTTCCGACTCTTTAATTTTTTTCAATTTTTTTGCTTTTCGATTTGCAATTTTTCGAATATCCACTTCTTCGATTTTACAGTTTTTCGTTTTTTCAGTTTTTCGATTTTTCAATTTTTTCCTATTTTTTGGTTTTTCCATTTTTCTCCTTTTCGAATAAAAAATTGCAAAATTGTAAAATTGAGAAATCGAATACGAAAATTCGAAAAAATATAAAATGAAAACTTTTAAAAATCGAAAAATTTTTGTATTTTCACAATCGCATCAATAAAAATTAGAACTAGAATTAAAACATCTAATTTTTTCTATTTTGATTTTTGAATTTTTTGTTTCGTTTTTCATTTTCTTTATTTTTTCGATGTTTGTGTTTTTCGATACAAAATTTTTCAATTTTGGATTTTACAGTTTTTGGATTTGGAATTTTTCAGTTGGTATTTCTCGATTTTTCAAGTTTTTGATTTTTAATTTTTCGTTTTTTCAATTTAACATTTTACAGTTTTTGAAATCAAGAATTGAAGAAACGAAAAACTGAAAAATCAAAAGTTTTAAAAATTGAGGAACTGCAAAATAAAAAAAACCGAAATATTGATAATTAAAGAAATTGTAAAATCGAACAATTAAGGAATCCAAAAATTGTAAAATTGAAAAGTTCTAAGTTGGAATATCCAGGAATTGAAAAATCAGCGATGGAACATTTAAACAACTGAATAAACGAAAAATTACAAAATCTAAAGAAACTTAAAAGAATAAACGGAATGAAAAAACGAAAAACTGTGATAGAAAATCAATTATAAAATCGAGAAATGTAAAATGCACAAAAAACGAAAAATTGAAAAATCAAAAATTCAAAATTTTGAAAAATAGAAATATCGAAGAAATCGAATAATCCGAATATTTAAAAATTTGAAAAATTGAAAAATAGAAAAAGCGAAAAATTCCAAAATTGAAGTGTCGAAAAATCGAAACATCGAAAAATTGAGAAGTGAAAAAATCGAAAACCTGGGAAATTATAAAATTGCAAAATTTTGAATTAAAAAAAAAACAAATCGAACAATCAAAAAATTGTAACATGGAAATGTCGATAAATCGAGAAATCGATAATATGAAAAATCAAAAAATTGAAATATTCAAAATTTTAAATCGAAAAATTGGAAAAACGAAAAATCTCTAATAAAGATGTCGACAAATAGAAAGATGGAGAAATGAAAACATCAAGAAATCGAAAAATTGAAAAATCTAAAATTTAAAAATTGAAAATTCGATAAATCGAAAAGTCGAAAAATCAAAAAATTAAATACATATTAAAAAATCCCGACACTGAGATATGGAAACATCGAAAAATTCAAAAATTAACAACCCGAAAAACATTGAAATGTCGAGAAATCAAGAAATGGAAAAATAAAAAATCTATTAATCGAAAAATTGGAAATTTAAAAACGTCAAAAATTGAAAAATCGGAGTCGAAAACTTGAAAAATCATAAAACTGAAATATCCCAAAAATGAGAACTTGCAAAATGAATGAAAATCAAGAAGTCGCAAATTTGAAGAATAAGGAAATTGAAGAATCGGAAAATTGAAAAATCCCAGCACTAAAGTATCGAAAAATGAAGTAATCGAAAAATTAAAAATCGAGAAATTGAAAAATTGAAACATCGAGAAACTGAAAGACCGAAAAATTGAGAAATCGGAAAGTCGAAAGTTCGAAAAATTGAGAAATCGAAAAATTTCTATGTCTAGAATAAAAATTTAACACGAATTCATAAACCACAAATTCGCGACTATCATTTGATTAGCATTTTTTATTCGACAAAATTGTACGATGACAACATTTATTTACTACTATAAAATTTGGAGATGACGTCATCAAATTGTTGGTGGGGATGATTCGCCAATTTTTGGTTTTGGTTGGCGTTTTATAGCAGACAAAAGACAAACAAGAAGGTAAATTGTTAGATTGTAGATTGGATTTTGAAATCCTCTTTGTCTATGATGCGTGCAGGCTGTTTTCGACGACTACAAAATCACTATACCTACCTATAGAAAGTGTCACTTTTTTTTTTTTTTGAAAAATGACCTCGACAACACTATTTTGAACGAGAACGGTTTCATCTAGAGAAACAAATAAAAATAGATGCCGCCTCTCCCTTGCGTTATCCATCACATTTTTGGGTTAGCCCGCTGTACCCGCAAACTTTTTCTCTTGTTTTCTTTTTCCGCTCTGCTGCCATATCCTCATCCAGAACGAGGGGCAGCAGCGTGGCCCCCAGCCATATCCGTGTTAATTAATCAGTTCTAATTCTGCGCGAGCTAAAATATGGTTGATAAATGGTGAAGGAAATGTTAATATTTTCCAGTATAGATGTGTGTGTGGTCTCCACGGTGCTTGGGTCGGGGCCCGACTGTGCCAAGAGCCAACGGCGTGTGACCCATACTCGCTCGTGCCCACTGAACAAATTTAACACCGCTGCTTTTGATTCTATGGATGTTTTACTGATTCATTGAGCTTTATTAGAGGTGGATCGCCGCACGACGCCGCTGACAAACCAGCTGGTGGGAGGTGGGTGGAGGAGACCGACCCGTCGGAAAGCTTGCAATTAATTTTAAGCACCAGGAGTTGTGCACACACGAAGCGAAATATTGCTCAAATTCAAAAAATAAAAAATAAAAAAAAACGCGTTTCGACGACTAACTAAGCTTATTTATTCATACCTTCCCAGTTGTTGCCGTCATCTAAAAAGAAAAAGATATGTTAAAAAAATAAGTATTTTAATTTTTTAGTGTACAAGAAATCATATTTTATCAAAAAGCTCTAAAAAACAACAACTCTTAACGTTTTTCCGAAGAATGTTAACTATTTCGCTGACGGTTCTCCAGTAAAGATTATTTATCGCTCGAAAACCAACGTGCTCACAGATGTGTAAAGCTCTATATTTCAGCAATGATATACTTCATAATACATTGTCACTTCAGTCGGCGTACATCTGAAAGATTTCGAGCTTCTTTCGAGTTCATAAATTACGCAGTATGTGCACATTTTCGGATTTAGCCGGAGCGGAGTTCTCCGAAAAAAGTTAATTCCCGCGCGAACGTGGCGACGTCTGCGTAAGAAGCTTTGGTTGAGGTCGCTAAAGCTCGGATTAAGCTCCTGGACGCGCGCTTGGTGCAAAAATTGCTGACCTTCGGTCTAAGCCGATAAAGTGAGTCTGGGAGCGGATTTGTTTTGGAATTTTAAAATTGGAGCGGAATTATTAATGCGAGTGGGGTTTTATGGAATAAGGTATGCGGAAAATAAAAAAAACCGCAATTTTTAATTGCCATGTTCACTCTGGGTAAAAAGTATATTTAGTAGTTTTTGTTGTTGTAATGTATTTAAAATTTTTGTGCGACTGAAGATCTGAAACTGATCTTTAAACTCTCTAAAGACTAAATTCAATGTGAGGTAAAATAATTTATAACAAAGTTATGACGTCATTGATGTATTTTTCAAAAGCAATCCTATTTTCAAAAATGGCTACACTATTTTTCAACTCTAGAAAAAAAATTATTATGAAAGAAAAATTATTTGATATAATTTATAAAAGAAAAATATTTTCATTTTTAATTTTGATTTAATTTTAGAATAGAACATGCAAAAAAAACGACTCAGTAGAGGCAAAATACAATGACGAAAATACGTAGGAAATTTAGATTTCTCCCATTTTAAAACTGAAATGATACGCCACTGATCAAGTCACTTAAAATTCGGTCTAAAAATAACTGTTTTTTAAATCCGGAAAATTGCGATACACCAATGGGCGACTCTGGAAAATGGTGGAACTTATTGAAGAAATTTTGGCGAAACTAACTTCAATAGGTCGAAATCGATGTATGTATAAGAACATTTTTTTGGTTAACTTTCGAAAATCGTTGAAAATGGGCTAAAATTTTCATATTGAAAAATTTTTGCCTTTGAAAAGTTGTCAAAAAAATCACAAAAAGTTCAGGAGTATAGATTTCGACGTGCTGATTTAAAAAATATAGCCTGAATGATTTTGTCACAAGATTTTAGAAATATTTTGAAAATCAAATCTTTTAAAATTCTAAAAAACTAAAAAATATTTCAATTGGTGATTCTGGAGGAACGCTAGCAGTATTGGATAAATAAGACCAAAACTATAAGAAATCTATAAGAAAATGTTATTAGTTAAGTTTCGAAATTGTTCGAAAATTGATCAAGATTTAAATTTAGACCAGCTGATTCCAATAAATATAGCGCGTTTATTTTATAGTATTATGAAAAATTTTTAGAAATATTCGGTTTGAAACTCAATTTTTTTGAAAATTTGAGTATTCCAGTAGGTGATTCCGGAAAATGCTAGGAACTATTGAAGAAATGGGACCGAAAATAACTTCGATAGCTCGAAATGTGGGAGAAAATGTTTTTGCTTAAATTTAGAAAATCGGTGAAAATGGGCTGAAATTTTCATAATTTTCAAAGAAAGGATTAGTGAAAAATTTTGTTTTGGAAGAAGTTTTAAAAAATTCAGCGATATAGACTTCGACGTGTTGATTCTAAAAATGTAGAGTGTTTATGATCCCAGGACCAGATTTTTTAAATATTCAGTTTGAAAATGAATTTTTTGTAAAAATCTACAAAATTTGAACATTCCAATAGCCGATTCTGGAAAAATCCTAGAAGTTATTGAAGAAATTAGGCCAAAACTAATTGTTGTAGGTTAAAATCTATGAGGATACGTGTTTGGTTACGTTTCGAAAATAGTCAAAAATTGGTCGAAATTTTCATAGGGGAGGAATTTTGAAAAATTTTGCTTTTCAAAAATTTGTCATAAAATTCCCAAGAAATTCAGGGCAATAGATTTTGACGTGCTAATTCCAAAAATATAGTCTTTATGCTCCCAGGACAAGATTTTTAAAATGTTTGGTTTGAAAATCAATTTTTTGTAAAAATCTACAAAATTTCAGTATTCCAATAGTCGATTCTGGAAAAATGCTAGGAGTTATTGAAGAAATGAGGCCGAAAGTAACTTTTATAGATCAAAGTCTATGAGAAAACGTCTTTGATTCTTTAGAAAATGGTCGAAAATTGGTCGGAATTTTCATAGGGGAGGAATTTTGAAAAATTTTGCTTTTGAAAAATTTGTGATAAAATTCCCAAAAAATTCAGGGCAATAGATTTCGACGTGCTGATTCCAAAAATATAGAATGTTTATGGCCCCAGGACAAGATTTTGAAATATTCGGTTTGGAAATCAAATTTTTGTAAAAATCTACAAAATTTCAACATTCTAATAGTCGATTCTGGAAAAATGCTAGGAGTTATTGAAGAAATGAAACCCAAAGTAACTTTTATAGGTCAAAATCAATGAGAACACGTATTTGGTTCTTTCAAAAATGGTCGAAAATTGGTCGAAATTTTCATAGGGGAGGAATTTTGAAAAATTTTACTTTTGAAAAATTTGTGATAAAATTCCCAAAAAATTCAGGGCAATAGATTTCGACGTGCTGATTCCAAAAATATAACGTCTTTATGGTCCTGGGACAAGATTTTAGAAATATTCGATTTGAAAATCAAATTTTTTAAAAATCTAAAAAATTGCAATATTCCAATAGGTGATTCTGGAAAAACGCTAGGAGTTTATGAGGAAAAGAAGTCTAAACTAACATCTGCAGGTCAAAATCTATGAGAAAATGTCTTGGCTTAGATTTCCAAAATGTGGAAAATTGACCAAAATTTTTATAAATGGGGCTATGGAAAACATTTTGTTTATGAAAAAGTTGTCACAAATTCTCAAAAAATTCAGGGAAAAAGATTTCGACGTGCTGATTTCAAAAACATACAGTAGTTATACTTCCAGCACACGAGTTCAGAAATATTCGGTTTGAAACTTAAATTTTTTAAATATTTAGAAAACTGCAATTTTCTGATAGCGATTCTTGAAAAAATATTAGGAATTATCCTACAAATGAGGTCAGAATTAACTTCTGAAGTCAAAATCTATATGAAAATGTCTTTAGTTAACTTTCGAAAATGGTCGAAAAAAGGACGAAATTTTCATCAAAGAGGAACCGAAAAATTTTGCTTTTGAAAAAGTTGTCAAAAAATTCAGGAAAAATTAATTTATATAGATTTATATGTGGCGATTCCGAAAATGTACCCTGTTTATTGTGCTGGGAAAAACTTTTAGAAATTTTGGCTTGAAAATAAAATTTTTTAGAAATCAAAAAAATTGTGGATAATGGTAAGGGAAAATGAGGCTGAAACTAACTTCTGCAGGTCGAAATCTATGAGAGGAAGTCTTATGAAGTTAGTAAAGTTTCAAAAATAGTCAATAATTGGTAGAAATTTTTATAGGAGAAAAATTTTGCTTTTGAAAAAATTATCAAAAAAATCCCAAAAAATTTATTGGGATAGATTTATTGATGCTGATTCCAAAAATATGGCGTGTTTATGGTTTCGGCAGAAGATTTTAGAAATATTCAATTTGAAAATCAAATTTTTAAAAACCTAAAAAATTGCAATAATCCATTGGAGAATTCTGGATAAATGGGAGGAGTTATAGAATAAATAAGGCCGAAACTGACTTCTATAGGTCGAAATTTATCGGAAAAAGTCTTTGGTTAAGTTTAGAAAATGGTCGAAAATGGTCGAAATTTTCATTGGGTATTGAAAAAATCTTGCTTTAAAAAAAATTGACAAAAAATCCCAAAAAATTCATTGATGTAGATTTATATATGTCGATTCCGAAAATAAGTCTGTTTATAGTCCCGAGACAAGATTTTAGAAATTTTAGTTTGAAAATCAAATTTTGTAGATATCTAAAAATTTGCAATGATCTATTGGGCAATTCTGGAGAAATTATAGAGAAGTTATCGAAGAAATGAGACCGAAATTTCCTTCTGTAGGTCGACATCTATGGAAAAAAGTCTTTAGTTTCGAAATTGGTCGAAAATGAGCAAATTTTTCATAGTATTGAGAAATTTTGCTTTTGAAAAAATTGTCAAAAATTTTCCAAAAAATTCATTGATTTAGATTTATACGTGCTGATTCCAAAAATATAGTGTGTTTATGGTCCCGGAACATTTTGGAAACATTCACTTTGAAAATAAAATTTTTGACCAATCTAAAAAATTGCAATAACCCATTGGATACATGGTAGAACTTATCGAAGAAATAAACGAACTTCTGTTAGTTCAAAATCTGTGAGAAAAAATATTTGGTTAAGTCCCCAAAATGGTCGAAAATTGGCAAAAATCTTCATATGTACGGATATTAAAAAATTTTGCTTATGAAAAAGTTGTCACAAAAAAATCAGGGAAGTAGATTTCGACGTGCTAATTCCAAAAATATTCGGCTTGAAATTTTTTTTTTTTTTATTTAAAAAATGTCAATTTTCCTGTAGCCATTCTGGAAAAATATTAGGAATAATCGAAGAAATGAGGTGGAAACTAATTTCTGTAGGTCGTAATAAATATATTAAGTTCAAATTTTAGGCCGGTTAAATCTGATTTAACCTGACATAACACGACTAGACTTGACCTGACTTGACCTGACTTAATCCAACTTGGTCAAATTGTAGTTGATATACAGTTGTTACGATATTTTTCAGACATTTTTTAAATAAATTTCGAACAGACAAAGCAGTTACACGACTCACAGGAGAGGGAAACGTAACATGATCCGTACTGACTAGACCTGACCTGACCTGACCTGACTAGACCTAACCAGACGTA